TTAAAGAAACTCATAATGAATACTTTTCCATAAATATTTCTTATACCTAAAATCATATTGTCTTTCATTTCGTTGAATAAAATAAAAAAATAATAGTTGGAAACAAAATAGAATGTGACGATATAATGCTATTAACAAATATTTAACTATAAGAATACTGCATTACAAACATTGTTGTTTTTCTTAATTTCTATGTTTTTAATCACATTTCAGTCATTCTATTTATCACTGCAGTGAAAACAGACCTTTTATTTTCAGGCTTTACTTTTCGAAATGTCTTAATCATTTCTTCTTCATATCCGTCTAAAAATGTGTTACCCAATTGCACGTTTTTTGATATATTATTTAGGACTTCTCGAAAAGTATTATTATTATTAATATTTTCATTGAATTCGCCAGTCACATTCTCTTTGTTCAATAATTCTCTCTTCTCTTTATAGTATGATGATGCTTCTTTATTTAATTCTCTAAAATCATTGATTACATTCTTGTAAATTTCATCTCTTATCTCCCAATTTTTTTTTTGCTTTCCAGTAACATTTTTTTTTAAAGGATGTTTGGCTATAATAAATAAACATGTTTATATATAAAATAATTCTCTTATAAAGTATATAAAATTCTTGTTTATTTTTATTCGAAAAGTAAAAAAAAATTTTTGTAAGAATTTCATTACTCTTATAAAAAATAAAAATCTTTAGAACAATTTAATTATTTTAAAAATAATTTAAATCAAATTTGTCAAAAGGATACGATTATTTTTTCAAAATATTAATTAAATTCGATTATTTTAAAGAATTTAAATATAAATTCAATTACTTTCAAAATTTTTAATAAAATTCCTCCTAAAAATTCTATTATTTTCAAAAAATTCTTCGAAACAATTCAATTATTTTTAGAAATAAGAAAATTTTTCGGAAGAATTAAATTTTTTTCATAAATAATAAAAATTCAAAATTCAATTATTTTCAAAAAATTTACCGAAATAATAGTTACAATTATTTTTTTAAATATTAATTTAATTCAATTATTTTCAACAATTCTGATATCAAATTCTTTGAAACAATTCAATTTGAATTTTTATAAATTGTAAGATTGTTTGCAAGAGTACAATTATTTCTGTAAATAATAAAATTCTTCTGAGAAAAACAATATTATTTTCTGTCACAATTTTAATAAAAGTTTTAAGAAAAAAATTAATTATTTTAAAAATTTTCAGTTAAATAATTTTAATTTTTACAAAATTTTAAAACATAAGTAAATGTTTGAGAAGAATTGTATTTAAATTGTATTTAAATAATTGAATTCCTTCTAAAAATTTACTATTTATTATTATTATGAATTCTTTCGAAGAATTTTAAAAAATGTTTACAAATAATTTAGTTATTCCTGGAATTCAATTAAAATTGTACCTTTTTAAAATAATTGAATTTCAGTGAGAAATTCAATATATGTAAAAATAATTGAATTATATTAAAAGTTTTAGAAATAAATGAACTTCTGTGAAAAATAAAACTATTTTTTGAATAATTAAATTCTCTCGGAGAATTCTTCATTTAAATTTTCGAACAAATTATTTAAAATTGTATTGAAAATTAGTGAAATATTGATAAGAATTTTATTATTTATATAAAAATAATTTAATTTTTTACGACGATTTTTATTGCTTATAAATTGACTAAAGAATTTTATTTTCAAATTTTTTGATAAATACTTTACAAGAATTCAATGATTTTCATTACATTAATTAAAACATTTTAAGCATTAAAAAAGAAAACTTATTTAAAAATGTTAGGAAACAAAAAAGCAAACAGTAGCTAACTTCAAACTGCGAACAGGTGTGCCCTTATTTTCTAAATGATAAAAATATTAATAATAAAAATAACAATAATAATACACTTTACCACTTCTTTCTTTATCTCGCTGACGATGCTCTTCAAAATTTTTTGAAACCAGGTTCGAAAAATCTGACTTTACTGGAGTTTTTGATAGATTTGTTCCGTTTCCTTTTTTTTTGTCTGATGCTGTACACAATTTCTTTTTTTTTTTAACAATGTCATTCTTTTCAGCTTCTTCTACCAACGTGTGATTACGTTTAGAAATTGCAGTGCATGATTCAAGATAAGTATCAACTTTTTTCTCTACTTCACTGAGACTAAAATATTTTTATTATTCTTACACCAATTCAAACATAGATTGCCTAAGTAATTATTTTATTTTACTAAATAGGAAACAAATACCTCTTTTCAAAACTATTTACGTTCAAAATTGTTAAATTTTTCTTTAAAAATTAATAAAATTCAATCTAATCATAATTAAAAAAAATTTTTTAGAAAAGATAAGAATAGTTATTTAAAAAAAAAATATTTGAAGACTCTCAATTATTGTCCTTTATTTTCTAAGATATCCATAATATCATTAAATTTAGATAATTTCAATTCGTCTGGCAAATTACGAAATGTATTAATTATAATTCTTTCAAATCCTGTCATTTTGTTGCAAGCACTTTCTTTTTGTGCATCTAAAATATCACTTAGTAATTTTTGTACATTCTGACCACAGAGAAGAATGTCTGCCGATGATTGTAAATCATTTTTCATTGAAGCTTGTTCATCCTCTTCTTCAATTTTTTCTTCATCTTCATGAAAATCACTATTACCATCACTTAACGCTTCAAACTCTGTAGGTTTTGCAGTTGCAAACGCATTGTTAGATGGGAAGTCTATGCTGCCACAGGTCCTAGAACAACAGTTTGCAATATTATATTAAAATTTTTATATGCAATACTCTAATTTTGATTTAATAGAATTTTTCTTAATCTAATCCGTACATTCATCTTTATTAACTTAATCAATACATGAAAAGCCAATATAAACTTTACAATTTATTGATAAATTAGTAAATTTAATGATAAATATCAGATTTTCAATAAAATAATAAAATAATATATATAAAATACCTAATTTAAATTTAAAAAGCAAATTCTTTTATTTACAAATTCATAACTCAAAGGTTAGAAGTTAGGAAGCAAGTAAATAATGAAAAAGTATTAATTAATGAGGGTGAAATAAAATTACTACATACCAATTATGTCCGATGTGTGGAATTAAAAATTTCATGTTATCATAATAATCAAATGAGCATTTATGTTCTTGGGCTTCAGATCCACTTGGAACATATTTTGTTATTGCTTTGTGTTCTACCTTAAAAGAATTTGTTAGAGATCTCCACTTGGCTTGGATGCCATTAACTGAAAATATTTAAAAGTTGTTCATTATTTCACAATTATTAATTTTATATAATAGTAAGAATATTGCCCTTAAAATAAATTACATTTGGCCATTTTCAGTCTTCGCACTTGATAATTAATTTTAAAAAAGTAGCAAAAAGTAGCTTTCAAACTAAAAAAAGCAGTAAAAACGTAGCTATCGAAAAATTGAACTTGACGACCAAAAAAATTCGTTTTACACACCACACAAAACTCACAAAAATTCTATTCTATATAATAATTGAATTTTCGGAAACAATTTTAATATTTATCGACATAATTGAATTATTTATTATTTTTTATTTTTATTTCAATTATTTCAAACAAATATAATGAAAATTGTATTAAAAATAATTGATTTATTTCGAACAATTTCATTAAAATATTTGAAAATAATTGAAATCCTGTGAAAAATTCTATTATTTTTGTAAATAATTGAATTCTTCCAAAAAGTTTTAAATAATTGATTTTTTCGACGAATTAAAATTAAAATTTTTAGAAGAAACATTTTTTCAACAATAATTCCTGTAAAATTGTATTAAAAATTGAAATCCTGTGATGAATTTTATTATTTATGGAAATAATTGAATTTTGGATTAATTGTATCAATTTTGTTTAATTAATTGAATTCTTTTGCATAATTTTATGAAAATACTATAGATATTGAAAATACAGAACTTGGAATATTTTTTGAAAATAATTGAATCGTTTTAAAGAATTTTATTATAATTTTTGAGATTACTTTTTTTTGTTTTTAGTATTAGTAAATTTGAAGTTGCGGAACTGAAATAAACAGAAATAGTTGCTTATAGTAGCTGAAATCTAAAAAAATACCCAAATAGTAGCATAACGTTAAAAAAGTAGTAAATAGTAGGTTTTAGTAGATGAGTGCGAAGCATGCATTTTTGTTAATGAAACTTTAAAATTGTTTTAATTTCATTTTTTTTTTAATTTGAGGTTATGTATTTAATTGTATGTATTATAAAATGAGTTACCATCAAAATTTTTGTCTTTAAATTTTTCTTGAAGCTTTTTTTTTAAATTTTCCCAAATTGAATTTTTCTTATTATTATTTTTATAAATATTTAATTCTTTATCATAAAAGCAAGAATTTTCTTCCATGAAATTTATGATGAATAAATTTACATCAACTTCTTCCGTGGTTCGTTGACTGTTCTCGTTTGTTTCCATTGACATTTTATAATTTCTACGTTAACAATATAAAACAACAAAGAAGATAAGAATACAAAATCAATGCCAATAATATAAAACGATAAAAAACAAAACTTGAAGAAATACTTAAAACACTGCAAACAATTTTGCAAAGCAAACTAAAGGTACTGCCATAGTTCTTTCTGGACAGCTGTCTGCGCAGGCAGACAACCTCTATTAGGCGGAAAATTTAAATTTAAGTAAAGTAATATTTTTTTAATGAAAATTATTATTAAATAATAAATAAATAAACTGAATAAAAAAATAATTATTATAATTTTTATTATTATATTTAATTTGATTATTATAAATAAAAAAAATTATTAATGTAATTATTTTAATTTTAATTTAAATCTTCCGCAGATAGCTGTCAAAAAGAGCTGTGGCAGTACCTTTAGGATGAAAATTTTTTGTCCCAGTGTTATTGTTAATATTTCGTTACATTTTTTGGTATTTTTTCTTCTGTGATTGTTAAAAGTTTCATTGTGCGTAAAAAGTGATAATATCTGTTCAATAAATTGCAATGGATTTAATACCTGCGGTTCAAGTTTCGTTGTCTTGGTTGCGAATGGTGAATTTGTATTTGGAGCATAAATACAAAGAAGAGCATTGGCGAAGATATTGGGTGAAACCGCATTTGTATCCAAGTATAAGAAATATGTATGGTGCTTTTGCGGTTACCTTTGAATACATGAAACGGTCAAATCATGAGGATTTTTATGACATTTACCGAATGAAGGAATGCCAATTTGACGAATTACACGAAATGTTGAGGTTGAATCTAGAAAAATCATATGTAGTTAGAGAACCTTTGTCATCGGAGCTAAGACTTGCAGTTATGTTACAGTAAGTTTTCCTTTTATAGTTCTTTGTATAATTTTTTTCTGACTATAATGCACAATTTTTCCATTATTATTATTATTATTATTATTATTATTATTATTAATTTGTAAATTAAATTAAATTCAAACACTTTATACTTACAGTTATCTGGCACAGGGAGATAGCGTGAAAACATTATCCAGGTACTATTTAATTGGAAAATCGACCATGTACGAAATTATTGCTCAAGTCAGTAAAGCGATTTGGGATATTTTGTCAAAAATTTATTTAAAAAATAAAACACCTGTAGAATGGCAAGCAGTTGCTGATGAATATGAGAAAAAATGGAAGTTTCCGAACTGCATAGGAGCCATTGATGGGAAACACATTCGAATTATAAAACCGCCACATTCTGGCAGTACTTTTTTTAATTATAAAAAATATTTTAGCTTCGTCCTGATGGCATTGTGTGATGCCGATTACAAATTTACCTGGATCGACGTTGGAGATTATGGTAAGCTCTCAAAAAATGTGCGTATTATCAATAATATACAGAGCCGTTCATTAATTTTTGCAATGATTTTCTAAAAAATTGTATCACTTTAAAAAAATTGGAAAATTTTGTTTTTCAACAACAGCACCTATGTGAATATTAATAAAATTAATTTTTTTAATTTCTGTTTCATATATAGTGTTAAAGCTTTGAAAATTTTTAGAATTTATAAGAAAATTCTCAATTTTAGAGAATTTTTGGTTTTCCTCATAAACTATGAAATTACTAAGAATTCTAATATAAAACCTTCAATTTTGGAGTGAATTAGAATATTTTTCAGGGTCAGGGAAAAAGTTAAAATTTTGTCTGGAAAAAAGAGAAAAGTCAGGGAAAAACAAAATTAAATTTTTGTGGCAACTCTGATAATAAACAAAATACAAAAATTTTATATAGTTTTATAGCTGTAGGGTGGGCAACAGTTATTGAGAGGTATTTTGTTTATTCACTTTCATTTATTTTCAAATAAAAATAAATTATTTATTTTCAAAAAATTTCTAGGATCCCTGTCTGATTCGAGTGTATTTGATGCAACTGGTTTTGCTCAGGAATTAACCAGTGGTCGCTATCTTCTTCCTAAAGCAAGATGCCTTCCAGGAACCAATTCAGTTCTTCCATATTTTATAATAGGTGATGCTGGATTCGGTTTGAAAACATTTTTGATGCGCCCTTACAGTCAAAAATTTGTAAAGAATTACAGAGAAGAAAATTTCAATTTTCGGTACTTTATATTCAGAACAATACACTGAAAAAAAATTATGGTTAGGGTATATTTAACACTATATTCGAGTTAAAACAATCAGAATTTCGGTGAAATTTACTAGAATTCTGGTTAATTTAACCCGAAAAAATCTAGCAAGAGTATATGTATTTAACACAAAATTTTACGTCTAAAAACATACTTCTTGGTAATTCCAACCAAAATCTTTTTTCAATGTATATAATTACAACATTAATATATTATTATGCCTAAATTTTGTAAAAAAAATATATAAATAATTGTCATTGCAGTTTATCAAGTGCACGTATTCCAATCGAAATTTCCTTTGGAATATTGGTGAGCCGATTTCGAGTATTACTTGGAATGCTAACTTTAAAATTAAGCACATCAATCAATATAGTTAAGTGCTTGGTATGTCTTCACAATTTCCTCATGACAAAGGATGGTTCAGAAGAGGCTTATCCGTAAGTTTTATTCAAAAAAAAATGGAGAAAATGAAGATGAAGTTGAAGATACAGAGTGTGAAAACAATGATGATGAAAACGTTGAAGAAGAAGGTGACATTCCACGTCAGGTTACAAAAAATAAAATCAGAGAAACTCTTGCACTTTATTTTGAAAGAAATTGAAATTAATATTTAGGCTGACACGAGGATAGTGGAATTCAATAATTTTTGGAAAATGTACAAGAAAAGTTAGTATCGTTTATTCTAACAAATTTCTCTCGTGCATAGTTCAATTTAAAACGAAACATTTCTTAATTATAATTTTTATAATTATTGAAGCACTAGCTGAGCGAAATCTTTGTATTTTATTACTACATTATAAATAGAGAATCTTACGAGAGGCACATATCTTATTAATTCTTATTAATATCGAAGAAACTCATAAGAATACTTTTATACAAATATTTCTTATATCTAAAATCATATGGTCTTTCATTTCGTTTAATAAAATAAAAAAATAATAGTTGGAAACAAAATAGAATGTAACGATATAATGCTATTAACAAATATTTAACTATAAGAATACTGCATTACAAATATTGTTGTTTTTCTTAATTTCTATGTTTTTAATCACATTTCAGTCATTCTATTCATCACTGCAGTGAAAACAGACCTTTTATTTTCAGGCTTTACTTTTCGAAATGTCTTAATCATTTCTTCTTCATATCCGTCTAAAAATGTATTGCCCAATTGCACATTTTCAGATATATTTTTCAGCACCTTTTGAAATTCAATTTTATTGATAATGTTGTGATTTGACCTAGCAGCCATATTTGCTGTACTCATTATCCTTTTTTTATCTTTGTAGTAGGATATTGCAGCATTTTTAAATATTTTGAATTCATCTATTGCAGTCTGAAAACTTTTGTCTCTAGTCTCCCAATTATTTCTTTGACTTATAGCAAAGTTGTCAATTGGAGGATGCTTTACTGTAAGTATGGCATGTTGTTTGAATGTAAAATTTTATTAATATTTATGGCATAAAAAATGTAATAATAATAAACTTTACCTTTTCTTACGTAAACTGGCTGACGATTCTCTTTATAATTATTTGCAGAAGTTCCTAGGTTCTTGGGTAATTCATACATCTTTGTAATTTTATTATAAATATATGGGTTTTCCAAACGAATATTTTTAATAATTCTTGGTTTTTGTTTCTTCTTATTCAACTCTTGATTTTCTTTTCCAATAAAGTTATTAAGTATTTTTTTTTGGTCACTAAACATTTATTTTTTTTTTAATTTAATATTTATAAACAGAAAATTAACATTAAATTTAACATGTTTAGAGGCATAAAAATGTGTATAATCATAAATTAAAGTAATAAAGATTTAAGAAAAAATTGATGCAATAAAAATCAAACTTGTACTCTGAAAAAAATTTATTTTTAAATTAAAAAAATATTTGCATTTATTTTACATTATTTTATTCTTAAACTTTGTATATATTATCATTAGAATAAGAATGTACCTAATCTTAATATTTAGTATAATATACTAAATATAATCTAACAGATAGGAAAATTTCATATGTAGAATGGTTATGCTTAATCCAAAAAAAGTATTTCTCGGGGACTCTTGTCCAAGCGCGTAAGGCCAATAGGGTAGGAGTATAAACAATAAAAAAAGTGAACAATATTCTAAAATGGAATTTTTTAGCTTTATAGCAGCATTAAAACAATACTGCTGTAATATATGTGTTTAATTTTAAGCAGATTTATAATTTTGTCAATTTCTCAAGAAAGATAAATTGTAATAAGTAAAATATAATAATTACGTTTTTATCCCTTCATGAATATTTTCTTCGTTAACATGATTGTCTTCGGTTTGGTAATTTTTTAATTTCAATTTAACTTCATTGGTTGAATTTTTTATGACATTAGAGTTTTTATTCTTGAATCTTAAATATTTTTTTACTTCAATTGATTTCAATCGCCAATTTCTAGAAGATGCATAATAATTAAAATACTTTCTTCTATAGACATATCTTTGCATGAAGTCTTCGATGTCAATAGCATCTGCTACGGCTGAAGTTGAGGGAAAATTAGTTACGTCACTTTGGCGAACAGTAATATTTTCATCAATCTGAGGTTTCTGTTTCTTCTTACTGAATTTTTCATTGTTTGTTCCAACGAACGCAACGAGTTCTTTTTCTAGTTCACTGAAACTAAAATATTTTTAGTAATATTCCATCAATTCAAACAACATCCAAATAACATAAAAAAATAAACAAAAGATTTTTGTATTTATTACAATCAGTATCAATTATCTACACAAATAACAAACGCAATAAAAGTGTACAATATTTTGAACATTACAGATAAAAATGAAAATGAAATGAAAATGTAAGTAATTTTTCATTAATTGTATACACGAAAAAGTAATATAGAATTTCATTTTCTAATTAAACTTACAGGATTTGTTATTAAAAAGGTATCTTATAACGTTATTAACAAATCAAAGTTAGGGAATATTTCAATTTTAACAATATATTTTTAACATGAAAAATTTCCCCAAAAATATGTTTGCAAATATTAACGTTGTGAATGCTTTTCCATAACGTTTTTATAGCAAAAATTATTTATGTTAACGTTTGGTAAATTGATAAGTAGATAAATATTATTTATAATAGAGAAACATTTATGATAGGCATAATTTAATAATGTGCGTATGCTTGTAATTTATTGAACAATTAATTTTTTTAAGACAGAAAATACAACTCGGGTAAATAGAAACAGAATATCTCATTTTTAATATAAATACATATATTTTTTAAAAAATAACCAATTTAGAAATTGGTTTTTTTTAAATTGAATATATTGTTGCTTTAAATTTTAGATAAAAATAGAAGGAACATTTTAATGAGAATTATAAATAAATAAATAAATAAGAGCAATTGAATCACTGTAAAGTTAGATTAAAACTGTAACATCATAATGGTTCAAATACACTTAACGGGTTTTTCTCATGCAAACGAAAATAATGTTAATTAACTTCAAATATTTATAGCGTAGCTACAATAAAGTAAATGTGAAAAATATCCTGATTGACTGTCTCTATAATATGAATTACTTACTTCATTAATTCATTATTAACTTCATCTCCTGTTCCATCTTTAAATCTAGCCTTTTGTTTTAGAACTGTCTTATTTTGTGTTTCTTGCAAAAATTTAATATTGCACTTGTTTTCTACATAATTTTCGTCCTCTACGGAACTAGAGCAATTTCGAAATTGCAATTGTGATTTATTGCTTTCTATTTGCTGCAAATTAATATTAAGATCTTCTTTGTAACCCATATTTTCTAATTCCATTCTTTGCACTTCTGCTGCAGAAGAAGTTGAATTTTCATTCAATGATACTTCTACTCCGCTTTCTTTAATCATTCCTAAAACATTCGAACTGATAAAAATTATTTTAATTGTGTTTATAAAGACATTAATATTTAAATAATAACGTTAATTTTTTGAACATTATTACCTTTCCGAATTGGTTTGATCAATAATGTATTTTTCAAGAAAAAGCATATAGTTCTTGTATTTATAACCAACACCTTTTTTACGAGCTTTCACGTAACAGGTTCGCATGTTCGTCCAACGTGCACTTAATTCTTTTTGAAATACAAAAGAATTACTATTAGAAGTGTGTTTCACTGATAGTTATATTACATAGGGGAGAGTGGGCCAAAGAAAATTAATTTGTAAATTCATTAAAGTATATAATGATGAATTTAGCTAACGTACGTATGTACCTTTAAAACCTAAGACATAATATTTGGAAATGTTACACAATTCCCTCAGAATTTCCTTAAAAACATTTTCGGAAAAGTTTATAACTAAAAAAATAAACTAATAACATTTTTACATAGCGTTGCATAAACACAAATAAAAAATGTCAAATTAAAAAAAACAAAATATACTACACACGGTTATTTCAAATTTTAAAGCAACACTTTCCACAATTTCGACAATTCCGGAAATATTAACACCTCGACGGTTTGTCCCACTCTCTCCTATTGTTATTAATTATCTTTTAATTTTTAAAACATTTATAACAAATTTAAAAAGAAAACATTTTATAGAAATAGTATTAATTAAAGTATTTTTGTGGTAACTTTAAGTTTAAATATAAAAAATGTTTTCTGCTTATGAATTTTAAAAATATTAAGGCACGCTAAAAATTTATTTTAATCAAATGAAAATTATTTTATTTTCAAATTTTTTTGATAATTATATCTATGGTTTATAAAATTTTTACGAATTATTTATTTCAAAAAATTAACTTTTTGTATTTTTCTTTTATTTCAATGTTTCGTACAAAATACATACTATTTGCTAAATCTTTTTTAAGCTGTTGTGGATCTTCATCTGAAAATTACAAATCATACAAGTTATGTTAAATTAAATAATTTTAAAAAAATTTTTTAAATTAAAAAAAAATAATTAATAATTAATAATTCAAAATAAAGTCATATGAAAATATAAAGAGAATCGTTAATGAGTTTATTGCTTTCTTTCAAAATCTTTCTGTAATGATAAATAGCCAGAACAGAATTTATTTAAAAAACTTGCATTCACCTGGTAATATTAGATAGTAACCTTCTTCTAAGAAAGAGACTGATATTTCTTCCCAAGCTTTTCTTCTCATTTCTATACTACACCCTTTTCTCTTATATAGACATAGGTGTTTCTGAACGCATTGTATTAGGAAAATATCTTTTTTACAATTCTCTTGATTTATATTCATTGTTCATGACATACAATCAACAAAAAAATATAATACATAAATATAAACAGATGAAAATACTTAAAAAACGTAACAGATCACAAAGTAAACAACAGGGATAGATAGGAGAAAAACAGGTGGTGCACTTCTTCTTATTTATAACCATGGGTTGAGTGCAACCAAGTCAACATAGTGTACATTGGCAACGAACTGCGGGTCTAAAGCCTTGTACATACAGCCA